TATTTTTTCTAAGAATAAATACTGAAACCATTCATAAGATCACGCCTTAAAATTTATTCTGATATTGAAAAGATCCTAGAATAAACTCGAAAGGAACATGAACGCAATCAATAACAAACGTATTGTCGTTTGGCAAGTGAGCCTTCTGTCGTTCATTTTTCAAGACAATTTTTATGTTTTCTTTGTTCTGGGATGTTTTCGTAATCTATCTGACGAGGGTGCAATATTGACGGTTTATTTAGCCTCAGGCTTTCTTCGAACGTTTTTACTTCTCTCCGGTATACAAATACTCCAGAGTTGAAGTAGTTCTGTAATCGATTATTATCAAACATAGACATAATGTGTTTATTAATGCATTATATGTATATAATTGCATGCATATATATTATTTTGAGGTGAGCTTTTATCTATGCACATCAAAGAGTCTTAATTAACAGCATAGCAGACGAACAGGAGAAGACCTAGTTAAGCTCTTCGAATTGTTTCTCAGTATTAGTGGGATCCGGAAATACGTTTTGTAAACGTCTTTAATTGATTTTATGGTATAATAAGTAATCGTTATTCAATTTTTGCTCTGAACGAAAGCACAAAACATGGCGACTGTGCTGCATATGGTGGCCATTGAATCCGAAATTATCTTTTGTCCAGTAGTGTTGGCTTCTGAAATCCAGGTCCAAACTATGGTTCAATTTTGTACACGAGAAGGATGTGCTTACCCTCCTAGAAAATCTGATACCGATTCCCATTTGACGCCACTTTCCATTTGTAATTAAAATTTAATAAGTAAATACATTAAGTGTAAATCTATATCGATATTCAGCATCCGGTGAGCTTTCGTTTGGAGTTTTTGCTCATTTTCGAGAAAAAATTGTGAACGCGATAGAGGCTATAGATTTTAACGATTTTTTCAAATTTGGTACGAAGCATTCGGGCCATGAGAGGACGAACCTTGTCGATATTCAGCGTTGCACAATCTTCCGTTCCCGAGTTAACGTCATGACAGGCGATAGGGTCTACAGGTTTTTAAAAGATTTTTTTTTCAAGCTTGTCAGATTTCTTGAAAGCATTTTTATCACGTTTTCTTTGGATAAACTGCTATCTATGAATATATTTTTTTCGAGACATAGCCAAATAAGGCCAAGAAATTTAACAAATTTCTTACCAATTTGCATAGAAAAGATAACATACATCAAATAACCTTGTTGAACACACTTTGAAAATATTGCTGTTTATAAGTCAAATTTAGGCATACAAGTAGGTCTTATTAAAGTGTGATTAATTCAATACATTACTCCGTAGGAAGCATTTAACGTGTATAGTATCATCCCTGTGGCACATGCATAGTATTGGATTATTTTCTAGGGATATTCAACAGATTGAGCCCGTCACTTCGAAATTAACATGAAACTTTAATCGAATTCCAATTGACAAAGTTGCTTTCAAGTGCATTACCAGTCTGTATAATTGCTGTTTATAAGTCAAATTTAGGCATACAAGTAGGTCTTATTAAAGTGTGATTAATTCAATACATTACTCCGTAGGAAGCATTTAACGTGTATAGTATCATCCCTGTGGCACATGCATAGTATTGGATTATTTTCTAGGGATATTCAACAGATTGAGCCCGTCACTTCGAAATTAACATGAAACTTTAATCGAATTCCAATTGACAAAGTTGCTTTCAAGTGCATTACCAGTCTGTATAATGCGACACAAATAAGTTAAATACATAATCAACATAATTATATTTTAATGTATATATACACATTTAAGTTCATAAAATAGAATAAATTCTACCCTTTGATCAATAATCATGTTTTTGGGGTGTAATTTTTTTTTTCTGGTGGTAATCATAAACAAATTGCTTATATGTTAATGGCAAAACAAACCGCAACAAATTTATTATATTAAATAATTTCTATAAAGAAACGAAAGCAAAAAAAAAATGACTGTATAATAAAACGTACCGTTTAACTCAAGATACTGCCTACACAAACTATTTGGTGTATTCTGTTAATGGCATAAAATACACACGGACGTACGTATATTATAATATGTGCATTATTTTCCAGAAATTGTTTAAATTGGCCACGGGCGCAGTACAAATTTAAACAAATGTAATTAGGGTTTTGAGATCCATAGTCTAAAACGAAGAGTTGCAATTTGTAACCATGGCAAACTCACCCCACCCCCAAATGTTTCATACATGTATTTATTTTTTTACTTATTTATTTAATGTAATCACTCAACCAAAGACTAGTATTAGTATCTTATATATGTGTGCTGTATATTATTTATTGAAATTAGGTCAAATATTGTATGGGTTTATGATAATTAATCTTATAGCTGATAATGGCTATTGTGTTTTTTATTTATCTATAGTCACATATGTTGTTATATACCGTAATTTAAATGTATAACCAGAATTTATCGAACATATTTATTACAATTTAATCCCAACAGAATGTGTAATAATCAATACTAGTATGTGAATATGAATATATTAACGCCAAAATGTATAACTGTTAGCCACTAGGACCTTCGTCGCCCTGTGGATGTTGGTCTAGAAATGGCCAGCAGGAACCAGGCGCAAGTGACGCAAAAACAGGCTTTGGCGATTTTTTATGCCCTTCTCTTGAGTTTTTGACAATAACTTTCATCGGATCGCCATTACTTCATAATTATATTACTCAAACATACACCGTGGTTATATTCCACAAATTGACCCTTTTCCGCAAAGCCCAAAATTCCAAGGCGCCAGTGGGAGAAATCCGCTGGTATCTTGTCCCTCATACCAAATCAATGATCACCACGGCCCTGATGGCCAGTGTTACCGAGGTCCCGTGTACACATTGGCGTGCATGTAAACGATCCCCTTGACAGCTGGAATTCGATTTAAGAGTAGGCCGTAGTGCCGCTGTCCGGGCAATATTTCCCTCATAGCAAACACTATGGCGTATGCCCGTCTTCATTAGCCCAGTTCGGAGCAGAACAGAAGGACGTTAAACCCCATTTCATTTCATTTTGTGGATGCAACAATTCTCCAAAAGGGATAAGTGTATAAAAATTTACGCGTAGATTTAAAGAGAAAACGCAAATCATAGAGTTATATTTCCACAAGAACACTGTACATCATTGGGACCACTAATCATGTTTAAAGGGCAATGCGGTGCAACTTTCATCAATTTCCAAACTTAATGGGTTCTTCAAACGATTCGTCGTTGATTGATGAAATGCCAACAGATCCATAAAGAATGAAGCCTCATATATGAATAATAATATTTTACTCCATTGATAATTTTCTACATGCTGGTTATTTTAATGTAAATGTGCAACGCTCTGTCTATCATGTTGTTTCATCGTTAATTCATGAAATGTTATATTGCCGCTTACACTAGGTATGGACTGTTTTCTGTGTTTATTTTATCGTCTATAAATAACATTGCTAAGAAATAATAGACAGGGGGGGGGGGGCAGGTTCCAGCAGATTTTCAGAGCTGAACTTACAATAGAAAGCTTTTTATAATATAAACCTTGCACGATCAAAAGTAATTGAAACCCAAAAATTTCGTTGTATAGAAAAGTGCAATCACTCAAAAGGGCAGGAGCAATTTGATAGAATGATAATTTTGTTATAACACAATTAAAACTTATGCCCATATTAATCATGTCTACCAAAGATTTCTATTTATCTTCTTAATTTTCTAACCCAACTAATGGGCTAATAAAGACGGACATACGTATGCAGTGTGCTATTAGAGAAGTTTTTCCCGGACAGCGGCATTTCCCCACACTCATCGAATCGAATTCAATCTATCTGTTGGGTTAACGTCTGCTTCCACAAGTATGATAGATCGGACAACCAAATTTTAGCTTCCAAGGTTTTTTTTTACCTGAATACAATCAAACGGCGTTCCTTGCGAAGCCCGCCGTCCTGGACCACTGGCAAGGGGAAATAAGATATAGGAAAATACTGAGGAACTTTTTTGGCCAATACCCGTACCGAACCCGTCTTCAATAGTCCGGTTGTTGCAGAAACGGGGAATGTTCATCATATTTGCAGCGATTAGTTTATAAATACTAAAATCTGCCTATTGCAGGTGGTTCTTTTGACTTGAAATTTTATACAAATTATTAAGTAGACACTAACCTACCAAGACCATAAAATGGATAATCGTAAAGTAGTAATGCCAATCGAGGATAGACTATAATTGCATCTAGGCTCAGAGTGAAGTAATTTGACTGAACTTTTTAGCTTATACTCTTTTCATTATTATAGCGAGAACTGTCAGCTCTTTTTTTTTTTATCTAATCTCACCTAATTGACCTGTAATTGACAAGAATGTATACGTCCGGCATTATAAGATACACAAAATATATATTTCCGGTGTGACCTGCACTCTCCATTCGCATAAATCGAGAAAATAAATGTTATTTTACGTTTGACTGACTGTGTATAATGACACGTCTGAACAAATCTATTAACTTGTTGCTGTGTGATTTAATTTAAGGATGGGATTCGCAGACGTTTATTTAGTACTGTTATATACACAAGCGAAAACCAACTGTCTTCAGTTATATGATGCGATCCATACATCTTTCTGCAAGTCTTTATATTTTCTTTCAACAAGCTCAGTGTTACGAATGGCTGGGCTGACAAGACAAGCATTAGATAAGTCAAAGATAGTAATATACGTAGAGAATAATAACACCCTACTTGAAAGGTTTAAGCCTCATATACGTTGAGTGATGGCAGGTTTATAGTTCAATTATTGACGATTTGGCTATTTTCGGAATACATTTAATACTGAGAGGTGCATATCAAATAAATAATGAATAGGTCTTTTGCCAAAAATCGTTTATTTATCTTCCATGACAGGCATACGTCAATCACGCATCCTCATATAAATATCATTGATCAAAAGGTCGTAAGCTTGCATTTAATAATACACTTTCTGATGGACAATTTAAAGTTAACGATTTTACGTTTTTCGCTTCAGGTGCTGGCATCCCGAATCCAGAAATCAGGGTCATTGAACCCGAGTTCCGTCCTGTTCCTGAAAATGTAACCCACAAAGGAGGTGATATGGCCAGGTTATTCTGTACGGTAGATAACCTTGGTGATAGAACGGTTAGTAGATAGTATAATGTATAACATCCTTCATTACCCATAACAAGTGCTGAAATTCTCTGTTGGTTTAAACCTTTACATTATAAGTATTGGCGTAAGTTATACATGACCCTTGCACTAGGACTGACGAAATAATTTAAGAAATAGACAGGGACAATGAAATTTGTACAGTCAGTGGCCCTGTAAGTACTGGACTTTTATACTATCATCGCGCCTAAAGGACAATCGCAATTCAAAATCCATAAATTAAAATGAGATATTTTTGTAATAGTGCGTCAACATTTCAACACGCCAAAACGTTTGACGGCCAGATAGCCAAGTGTGCAGTGAACGACAATTAACATTCTTAAGATTTATAAATGTGGGCTCGATCTTTAATTATCTAAAATATTATCATTTGAGACATAGGTATCAATTAGAAGATTGGTGATGTCACAATTATTCGCAATGTAACAACATTGCAAACGAAAATTGGGGTTGAGCCTAATTGGACATTTAACGTCTAAATTCGCTGTTTGGGTGTTGTCTGTCAAATTTAAATGGCATATAACGACCAGTCTGTCCGTCCGCATTGTCCGCTTTGTGTCTGGAGTACTGCTTGGAGTTAAATGATTGTTCACCAGTTGAAGGTGTGTCGCAAATCATGTTGGAATCTCTAGCTTGAAGGTCAGTGGCATATAATCTTAATTAATTGTGGAAGACCCTAGGTCCAGACTGTTTGCATGAGAGCTCACCACGATGCCCACTACTGTTCGCAATTTAACGGCAAAACAATGGTACATGTAAATGTTGAAAAAAATACTATACGCTGCTGCAAAATAATACGTGTTTTTTTGTGCCGTAGAAGACTACGTAGACGTATCCAGTGTTTATGTAATAAAACTGCCATACTGATTCCTTTTCTACAGAAAAAATGTTATTCCTTTTATAAAGATATTATTGGTGATAATGTTACAAGTCATTCAGTGCAATTCAACATCTCAACATGGATTGTGAATCCCCAATCTCGCCCTCTTCAACGCTACCAATCCCAGGTAGATATTAAAATAATTTCAAATTATCAAAAGTCACAAGCATTACAATAATAGGTTGATGTGTGTATAAAGTTTCATAAGATATGCTCGGAGACTAACTAGGACGGAAGGGTGGGCGGAGAGCCCATTTCAGTCTCGGTGCGAGATAATAGAAAGATAGCGCTGCGACCCAATTAGCAGACGTCGTGCCTTTCCGTGGATTTTGAATTCCACTGCGAACCATTTTTTTTTGATGATGCTGTAAATGCATGAACGCCAAATTACTGTTATATATAACTGATTTACGCGAAGAGAGCCAGATTAAATGCAGTAGTACATTCCTGCTCTATTTAATTGATGTTTTCTGAACCCTTCACACGTCCCTGTAAGGAAGTTAATATTTAAAATTGAAATATGTGAGAATGACATTAGTGAATAACATTAAAGCCAAAAGCTAACGGATGTACATCATTGTAATAATTACTTTAAAACATGTTCTATAAGGTTAAACTAGTATTATTATGTGATTGCCGACCATATCAATTCCGTAACATCATTGACGTCTTTAAATATGACCACAATTGTCAAACGTTACTGGTAATGAAAGGTAACGTAACAAATTGTGACGAGCGGCCTTGGTATTTATTGTAACATGAAATCTAATTAATGTTCTCGAAGAGTGGTGACCCAACTTCTTGTTTTCTAAACGTGTAGGCTACACCTTTTGACGAGGATGAAGTCGATTAAACAAACAATTATATTGGGAGTCAGTCCTTGTTTTCTTACTCATCAGACAAAAGACACTTACAACATTTTAATGATGCTGAAACTGTCCTGTATATGGTCCACATTATATTGACTTAGGTTTTTGATGGCTGTAAGTAATAAAAGTCAAGGATAATTCACACATGAAAGAGTGACAGTGATCAGACATAAAGGATATATTTGCAAACAATATGTCTGTAGACACCATCATCTCATATTATCAGTCTTCTAGAAATGGCTGAAAAAGAAAACTAAATGACAATATTATGGATGTGTAAAACGTTAACGGTAATTTTAATAGCAATTAATCGATAAATCTGTAATAATTCTCAAGACAATATGACTCTTAACTAAGTTAGTGATTCCAATAACTTTTAATTTTCTCAAGTTGAGCACAAGATTTGATTATTAAACTAGAATATGGAATACTGCACCACTGACGAGGTGGGACCCATATCAAACTAGAATTGCAGAAAGATTGCAGATTTGTATAATAAGTTTTCATTACAATATTAAATAACCAAAAAACATTTCTTAAGGACTAGTCTCGTTAAATGATGAACTAGCTGATTGGGTCTAAAACTGTAACGTCTTTCAAGATTCCTAATATGAAGAGTTGATAATAAAAGTCGATTGTTTTAACTCTAAAGTTTTATATTTTCTTTTGATCTATGGCAATAATGTAAAGTTGCAGTGTTGTGTCTGTCAATATTGCAACAGTTCCCACATGCATGAAAAGGATGTCACTAGATTCGACTTTTAAAAAGAATTATGAAAGGAGAAATAAATTTGAATCAGGAATTGCGATCTTGTCATTTTTATCTAGCGATGGTCGATAAATATGGACAATAATTAATTTCTACTTACATATCGGAAATAATCATAACGAAAATATACTAATATATATTATTGAATTCTCTAGTGCAATCAAAATGCGTGTAACAGCCCATTAAACATGGATGGAGAGCTGTGGGGACTATATAGAAATCATCTTTCTAATTACACTTCAGAGATATTATGTTGCTTTCGTTGAAACCTAACAAGGCATGTTATAGCCTCACACAGTTTCCATTAAGGGAGAACTGAAACGATGAGGGATTTTTTTCTCTTAGCTTAATTACCACTAACGTAATAATACAAATGTGTAACGAAACAATTTTCCGTTGATTACTTTTGCAGTTAGACCCCGAGGTTTGGCAATACAAAGAAGAAATAAACACTATTTTGTTTTGCCAAGTTTACAGTTGTATAAATAAAAGAGCTTTTATGATGCTATTTACTAAAGAGTATTATAATAATTGACGTTAGGAATTCGAGCAGCACAGAAAATACTACTAAAAGCATATAGCAGTAACTACCATATGTTATTGGTGAGAAAAATACACTTTTGTGTGTATTGGTGAATATTTTTGGGAATAGTTGATGAAAGACTCATTTGTAATTCTGTTAATACTAAGTATTGCGTCAACATCAGACAATCCTATTAGAAATAACAGATTTTCACCCACTCAAAGTACAGCTTTCACGTTAAACACACCATATTATGCTAACCACCAGACAGTATATTACATCCCAGACTACCGATCCTCACCAGTGCTGAAAATGAATGAACAATTTCTCCTACAATCAGATATCATGAATGGTATAATTGGTGTTCCAGATAAATTATGCCCCCCCCCCCCGCCCCGCCCCGCCCCGCCCCATGCCACTGGAACTTTCAGGGGGTATTATTTGTTTGTTTTTTTCGTTATCCATTATAAAAGAAACAAGCCAACAGTGATGCTGATGCCCCCCGCCGAAATCCTGGAATAAATAGAGACAATTAATTAATTGCACATTTCTCTTTTCAAAAGTATCGAGAAAACTGATTATCAACTATACGCGAAGTTTCATCACTCTCTATACTCGGAGTTTCATAGCTCTCATTTAATTATAACCACAGATATCGTGCCCAAAAGCATCAACTAATCAAATTGCGCATCTCTGCACCGTAAGGTGACAACTCCATCAAAGCATTCGTCTAATGAACGCCTACACCAAATTTGAACATTCTACCTCAATTAGAAGGAGAATTATTGTGTTTCAAGGTCTCGACCAATCAAATTGCTTATCGCTCTGCTTACCCTGAACAGAAAATGTTCATTATCGAACTTAGTCAAGGTATTCATACCTCAAGAATACATCACTGCGCTAAATGCCGTCCATTTAAAACGCTCACGTGATCATTTTGGGACGGGACTTATCGACTTTACGGCCAATGACTTATATATACTGCTTTTTATAACCGACTTCTGCTATTCCAGTAAAAGCGATATATTATAATATATGCCAATGGGTGATATTGCAATACAGTCTTTATCATTGTAAACTGCCTTTAGAGTTTCAATCTGTTTATCTTTCAAAAGAACGTTACATACTCCTAAATTTGTCTTCGCAAACAAAGTCGCTTCTGTGAACGTATCTTTCATGGGCGCCGCCATATTGAATAATTAGTGGACTACTTCGTGCTTCCGCTCTAATCCGTTTGACATCTTTCATACACACAACGGCTAAATAAACATATTAAATTTCATTCAATATGAAAATAGAAGAGAAAAAAATACTTCTAAAAATTTCTAATGGCATAATCAATGTTTTGACTAAAATCGTCGATGTAGGAATTAAAATGTCGGTTAATTAGGTTAGGTCCTGTTCTCAGGCGGAGCTAACTGTAGACAGGCAGTCTAAGTTTGGGATGCTTTCTTAATCAGCACCAGGATCATTGTAAATAAACATACTATATATTGAGAAGATGATGGCCGACATCACGACATTTTAACCCGACATTGCAACATTTTAAATGTCGTGGTGTCGGGTGATATGTCATGGTGTCGGGTTAAAATGTCGTGATGTCGGTTTGTTGGGTTGTCGCCTTATGAAGGGCGACATCACGACATGATACCAATCAGCCACCATATGTATATTTTTCTTATAGCGGCGGACTAGTATACCCGCGGACCAGTCAGCATCCCCCAGATAGACAAACTGGAACTAGAGACAAGTAAACATGCAACTTTCTGCCCTACATTTCAACCTAACCAACCTCTTAACTCTCGGATCCTTCCGCCTCAAAATCATGAGTATTCACCAAAACCTGGCTGAAAATGTATATTCAAACCCATTTCCTCGATTCTACACCAAAATGACAACAGAGATCGCCATGCAAAAGTGGGAAAGGGAGAGAAAGACTAAAAATAACTTTGGCCCTTGTTTTGTTGGTTACCAGCGTAGGAATAATTGGTGACCCGTGTCAGTATAATGTGTCTCAATGAATTACTCCAAGTTTTAGAAAATTCCACTAAGAACTTTATCATGTTTCGCATTCATAAGCTTTACAGGTCAAAATCTGACAGGAAAGACGATTCCAAAAAACGCGTTCGAAATTTAAAGTTTGATCAGTGAAAATGTAAATGAAAATAACTAGAATGGTATGCTCCAGTAAACAACACGGGCTATTTAAATGTCCAATCAAGAATGTTGGCTTGTATCGCATTCAAGATATTACGGCAAAGATAACTTCGAAATTTACGAATCGAAAATTTTGAAATTCGATAGAATTGTACCTTACGATCAAGCTCACTAACCCACTAAAAAACAACTACTACTTAAAAAAACGTCTATCGTGGACTTTGACCTACTGAATGTATATAGGCGTATACACCTTTAATTAAATTCGTATCTTGATTCCTAATAAAATAGGCTATAAATATTTTCAAATTTCTGATAACATAGGGATTAATTATCTGACATGAACACAAAAACCTGGTTATTGTTTATATGAAATTGAAAGCCAGCTCATTTGTTAGGAGAATGAATTGCGTCATTATAAAATGTTTTCATATTACATTATTATTTGTCTTTGGTAAGAGAAAACAATATAAAATGCACTTACACAGGACATAATGTGGTCTGAAATTTTATTTATATTGCTAATATTAGGTGTATAGATAAATAATTTTGGTTAGACAAAATAAAATGTTTAATATATTATCATCACAGAAAATCGTACCATTTCCATTAAAACAGCAACGAAGTGGCGATGAAAGTAAAATAGGTAAAAAATGAGCACATTCCTTTCGTTATTTAGAAAAATTGTTCTGCCATGCTAAGCCAAAATATGGCAAATAGTTAAAGGTGTAAATTAATGATACGCCTCAATTTAAGAAAACGGTTAAACAACAACATCATCATAGCTGGAAGTGTGTCTATTTGGTTTGACGATATTGGGTTATTTCCAGTTTGACTCAATTTTTGATGGCCCAGGGTCTTCATTCTGACAAGTTCTTCTATTTGGATAAGTGTAGAATTGTAGCTTGTAGCAATATACACAGTGATGATAGTTTATTGTTAAAACAAAGTCATCTATCAGTGAAGTACCAATAACCATAACATCTGGAACAAATAGACATAGTAACAACATTTCACTTCAATTATGTCAATACTTAATTAATGCCAGCTCAGCTAATGGTAGTCCTGATATTAAAAATCCAATGTACTAATTACTTACTGTAATAAAATGACTGTAAAAATATTTGTTGGAAAAGTCGTCGCCCGTGGCATGGAATAATAAAATACGGTTATATCGTTCTGTTAATCAACTTTTGGTGGTTTATAATCGAGTTCTAAAAAGTAATATTGCACCCGAGAGGTGAGGCCGTGCACTTTACGCGGTGTTTCATCTTTTTCCCCTCTGATCGCATCTGAGCAATTAATCTGTCTATTAACAAATGGCATTTCCGGACCGCTGTATTAAAAGAGCATGACTAGTTTTTATGGTATATATTATATAGACATTAACGATATTTATCGATCGATATTCTTTGATGTTTTTATTATACTTAAACAGACATTATGCAAGAGCTAAATCTGCCTATTGCAGGTCTTTCTTTTGGCCTCAAATGTTTTATAAATTATTAATTAGACATTAATTAACTTACAAAGACCATAATCATCGCTCGATGCCAATCGGATGCCTCCGATATTAAGTAGATTTAAATACGTTTTGACGTTGATGCGGTTACCGTAAAAATGGATAATCGGGACTTTGTTTATTATCGTAAGAACGGTAGCAATACATCTAGGCTAGACTATAATAATGTATCGCCGATAGCTAGGCTCGGAGGGAAGTAATTTGTATCATAAGGTCTGTCATTGAGTCAACTGGCGTAGTTTCGATTCCCCGGTTGTACGTGACAAGGTGTAGGGTCGCCTGTTTAATCTCGTGGGTTTTCTCCGGGTCCTCCGGTTTCCTCATACCGCTAAAGACCCCTACGCGCAAGTGAATTATTGAAATAAAATTGAACCATATGTTAGTCCCGAAATGACCTGGTTTGTGTCGAGTTGACGTTAAACCCCCACAACTGGGTAATAAAAAGAAAGAAAAGTCACATGGTTTCAAATTGGCTGACAGTAAATTTACAGCCCTAGTTTATTTATTTTAGTTTTATACAAGTAACGTCCTTCGGCCCATATGTCAATTATAATTTCCGCAGATGTAGAGGACCAAGGACATTTGACCCAATCAAAAACACCGAGCCCGACCCCGGATCACAGTAAGCACTTACTAGACCGGAAACTTGTTCTGCTAATATGTATTATCACCATGAGTGTTTGAGAGTTTAATCCACGCAAATGTGGTTGTATACATGTATTGTCGTTGCCTCCGTCCGCCCGTCGTCTCCTATTTCTCGTGAACACTCCACAGATTACATTCATTATCCAATCTTTTTGAAATTTGTATAATATATGTTGTTAACATTTAATTTTAAATAGATAGGCATTATTTAAATTAGTAAAACGAAGAATCCTATTGAATTTCAGCAATTTCCGTTAACTACTTCTAGAGTTATGGCCCTTGTTTTACTCTGTTGAACATTGTGAAGGCTCTAACTTATAAACCGATCTGGTATAACCTTTGTTTCATTTTGTTGAACCTTGTGAATGCACTAACGAAAAATGTCCGATCTATATTAAATTTATAAAACGAAATAGCCTATTGAATTTAAGCAACCTCCGACGTCTAGAGTTATGGCATTATTATTTGCCTTTGTTGAACCTTGTTAGATTTCTAACCAAAAAAATTTATTATCCGATCTGTATAAAATTGATATCGGTGCCTTGTGATTACCTACAAAAGAATAAATATGCGACAACCCCTACCGACTGCACGGACTATTTACCTGTTATGTTGCCTGGAATCTATCTTTTTTTTAATTCCGGCGAACTGGGGATTGAAATTAAGTTAGTGACCCGTAGTCTAGACGTCAAAGTTATATTGTAATACTAATTGACCTAATTATCGAAACATAATATTTATAACGAGATTATTTGTTTAAAAATGACCAACAAGACAAAACAATGCTCAGTGTCATAACAAAACAACTAATTAGATGTAACACGAAGTGTAAATATTTTGGCAGACTGAGAAGGATGATACTCCATAGATAATTATCGTAAATTTCCAATGACAATGAGGAACACAAGCTTAAAAACTCATGAAATCTAGTATCGTGGTGGTAATGTGGCGTAAAGTTGTATACATATCATACATGCCTTAAGTGTAATTTTAATCTCATTAAGCCAACTGCAAATACACTTCTACGTTTTAAGAAATATTTAACCAGATGACGATAGTCCCAGTTTAGGATTCGTGACGGAAGTCGTGCCAAGTTAGAATCAATTATTCGACCAATGAATAACACTCTGCGCTTGTGTACACATTGGCGTGCACGTAAAAGATCCCTTGGCAGTTGGAATTCGATATACGAGTAGGCCATAGTGCCGCTGCCCGGGCAAAATTTCCCTCATAGCACACTGTATGGCGTATAGCCCGTCTTCATTAGCCCAGTTTAGGAACAGAACAGTAGGACGTTAAACCCCATTTCATTTCATTTCATTTGTTTTTTGTTTTTTTTGAAAGGTAATATGGAGAAAATTACCGGAAATTAGTCCTTTAACAATAGGAACAGACACATGGGCAGACGATTCCAGAATACATGTCGAGCACGTGACAAAAGATAACCAATGGAATCTTCTTATCGATGACGTAACTCGGCTTGATTCAGGCACATACGAATGTCAAGTCAGTACCCACCAAAGAAAGATGAGAAATCGTGTACGATTAAAAGTTATAGGTAAATTTGCCATTGTCATTTCTCATTAGCATTGCAAGATTGATAGTTTGACATTCTATTTAGCATCAACATAGATCCCTACAAATCTCAATAACAAAGACTCCACTGCTCTATAGACGTTTATTGTCACTTACTTATCACAAACACTGTTTGAAACATACATTGTACAAGAGCTAAATCTGCATATTGCAGGTCTTTCTTTAGGCCTGAAATGTTTTCTAAATTATTAATTAAACATTAATTAACTTGTCCAGGCCATAATCAACTCTCCATGGCATCGGATTTCTCCGATATTAAATAGATTAAAACAGTTCAGCCATATTTTGATTTAAGCTAAAAAATGGAGGAGCGTTTGTACAAAATTTCCCCGTGTATCATGGAGTGCGTGTACAAGGCGCCGCCCTGGCAGTTTGAATTCGATGGACGAAGAGTAGGCGGTAACGCAACTAACTGGGCGACATTCTCGTCCCTAGCACGTGGCCATAGAAAATCAGATCTTAATCTGAAAATGACCGAAGTATTTTATTGACAAGACGTTAAACTCCACCCCATTCTTTTCCTCTGCTAGTTTTTTCTGTATTTTTTTGTATTTATGGAGCTATTCGTCTTCCATACACCATGCTAAAAAAATAGTTTCAAATGTCACATAAATGTACCAATTGTGTGATGGCCACATTATTGATGACCAAACAGTATTATGGCTATTTTTATTTATTTATGTTGTCAAAGGGTATCTTTAAATCTTATTTAAAAAAGGTGAAATTTTGTTGGCATTTGAGCTATGGCTTTATAATAGTGTTTCAATGTTTTCGAATATATTTTTGTAGTTCATGGTATTGAATGCGTGATGTAATATATATCATGCCAACTATGCTAATCTCTTACGCATTTATATTTTTATTTTCAACGAATTCTTTTTATTTGAGTGAAGTTTGTGTAGACAGAATTTTCGTGTGGGTTGATGTATTTATAACTGAAAAAAGAATCCCAACAACTAATGTTAATAAATGAAACTTAGTATGAAAAGAAACCATATGTTTTTATCTTTCCTTCTCTATTCTTCAGATGACCCAGTGAAAAGAAATCCAGGTAAGACGTGTTTCCTTTTCACTCATTGTACTGGTTTTTACTTTCAACCTTCTCCATAGCAGTTTTCTTCTTTGAACAATTATCCAATTAGGTGAGCGCCGAAGGGAACGGAGAAGTATGGCGCCTCTTACAAGAATTACAATCATAGTCAAATGTTTTATGCAATTCGTTTGCATTATTTAGCGACACGTTTACACTGGCACAGATTTATCTTTGAAGCTAATTGCCTTCGGGGTAGTTGCCCAAACTCCCGAATTTAAATTTCCCGCAGCTGTTAGCACAAATCCAAAAATCGAAGGGTTATCATACGTCCAGAAAGGAAACATACCCTACATTGTGTACCCTAAAGGCGCAAAATTGAAACATGAAGAAAAATGGACTGAAATATAATCTTTCCAACTGATGTAAGTGTTTCTGTTTTAATTTTACAGTTATGCAAGTCAGTGGTACGCAGTTTTTGGAAAAATATTCAAATATGCAAATTTACTGTAAAACGTCAACTATATATAACGGACAATCTAACGTCGTTTGGTTTAAAGATGGCGATACATTATCCCCGGCTTCGGACAATAGAATAAAAATAGAAACTTATTCTTCCATACAAGATAATACAGTTACCAGTTTATTAAAGATAGACCAAGTAACGCAAAGTGATAGTGGTCTTTATGTTTGTCGTAATTCTAACAGAAAGGATATGACAACAGTTCAAGTATTTGTTATCAATGGTAAGTATTTTTCGATAGTTGTTGACCCCCGAAGTGTCATAGGATACATTTGCTCAACCAGTATTCAAAACCTTTAATCAATTATCAAAGTATGCCATGTAATATTTTGTTATGTCGTTCAAAAGGAGTGTAAGATATGGTTTCATTTTGACTATAAGATCCCAAGATTCCTCTAGGCAATTAAGAAGGTCGGCAAGGGAAGAACACTGGTTGGTCAGAGTGAAACATTATAAATCATTATCCAATGTCCATCTAAAGAGGTTATTAATATTAAAATAACAGTGAACACTTTCTTTTTCTAACCACTTTAACGTAAAATATACACGCACTATAGAATTAAATTAATAGCTTTGAAGGATTATAGGGCAAGCGCTCAATCTAGTTTGTGGGGATGCACCTCCACGTAGCATAGCGTTGCGTTGGCTAGGTAGATTGAAATTGTACTCCATGCATAACACATGTATTTCTTATCTATATTTATTGTTGGATTTTTTTGTCTTTTAGAAAAACGGTTATTTCATTTATATAAATATATAAATATTATTTTATTCTGCTTATTAACTAAACATACCTTTCTTCTTATTTAAGGTGGATCTAATAATGTAAAAAGAGGTAAGAAGAATCTCGCTTATTTGGATTATTATAAGTATGGGGGGAACTTATGTCTATAGTATAAATCTACTATGACATATAATGTAATTTCTACATAAACCACTCTTACTTACTTATTACCAATATCTCTACAGCTAATATACACCCCCCTCTTATATTTACTCATTGGCGCCACTTTTCATTAACCTTTTTTTCTGTCTTGGATTAAAGATACATTATTCAAGAGTTAAATTTGCAGTTCTTTCTATAGGCCTTAAATGTTATATAAATTATTAATTATTAATGTATTACCATAAGAAGGTCATAATCAACCCCATGATGCCATCGGATGCTCGAGATTTTAACTAGATTAAGACGTTTCGGCCATTTTATGATTTGATTTAAAAATTGAGAAGCAAGGCTAAGGCTCGAATATTTTAGTACCGTGGTTACGATAATAAAAATCAATGTACTTATCATGGTTCAGAATAAAGTAATTTGAATGGAATATTCGATATATTCCTTTTGCATTATCTATTTTTGAACTATTACATCAAGAACGACCAACTCTTTATCTAAATCTTACATAAAGTATCTTTAACTCTATCTACATTTCATGTACTTTACTAAAATGAATCACTAAAGAAACGCCGCTGGTTACTTAATGTGCGTGTGTTAGTTGTATTTTACGCCCGTTCCACCGATATCTTTTTATTCAGTTGATTATTACCTCAAAAATGGGCGTGGGATTGACAATCTTGCTTGAGAAATAACGACTTTCTCTCAACTCTATGCGTAGAACTTTAGAAGTATCTTTGCAATTTACACAAACAAGCGATTTGTTATCAGAGTAGAGTATCTGCTAAGGTGCTGATCAATTTGGGGCTCAGATGACGTTTTCTAGTTAGAAAACGGATACAATCCAGATCAACGAATTCTGACACAATACATTGATCAGTTTGGGGCTCAAGTGACCTGTTCTCGCTGGAAAACGAATACTATCCATATCTACGTATTCTAACACTATAATCCGTAATTATTACAAGTGTTGGTAATACCATTATAAATTACCGAAATGGAAGCATTTATGCCATGCTTAATTAGGGGTATCATCTCAGACGACAGCAACGACGCGGCACCATAAAAGATACAACTCATACCCCAATTATCTGAAGCATGAATATAATTCAGATTATGTTAAGAAATTCCAAAAAGTGGAAGCTTTCCTTGTCACCGTACGTTTATTTAGTATTAACCGACACTGTTATGTCTCGGCCAAGTGAGGGAATTTGATTATGTTCTGTAAATGATCGTTTTACTACCACACTGGAGTTTCTGTTAAAGGAAACGGTGTACCATAATTGTAGTATCAACTGTATGATTTGGAGATTGGATATGTCCCAATTAGTTCTTTCATTAAATCATCATTATAATGTTTTATTCGTAAGATAGCAGGGTTTTAGGACAAAATCAATTTGAGAACAATTTTACGTGTTCTGATTTTGATTATTTTTATTACGCGTGTTCTTAATTATCCCGTTTAATCATAAAATTATAAACACTATCCCCAATAAATGTAATGTGCACATTAGCACATTTATGTGTTAGTTGAGCGCTATATAAGTGTGTAATAATTATATTAATCATTATAGAAGTTGTACCACCCTCTTAAAGGACAAACAGGATAGGACCCATTCTCCTGTCCATGCAGTCTAATCTGTTCATACTTAACATCAAAACATAATCGACTACATTAACTCATGCAGCGAGGGAAGCATCGCTTATTCGTGTCTAAACCCAATAAAAACCTTCCCAGAAAGAATAAAATATTTAACAAGATTCCTGCGACAATTTTTAGTCTACAACAACCAATATCAATTGAAAATGACAATACATATAGTTATATTTATTGTTATCGTTTGTTGTACACTAAAAATTGTTGAAGAAATTTTGTCAAATCATAATTGTCAAAACGGTCTTCACCAGGCATGTATACTAAACAGAATTATAGCTTTAGAAACAAGCACTAGATTCGATACAATACATATAGTTATATTTATTGTTATCGTTTGTTGTACACTAAAAATTGTTGCAGAAATTTGTCAAATCATAATTGTCAAAACGGTCTTCACCAGGCATGTATACTAAACAGAATTATAGCTTTAGAAACAAGCACTAGATTCGATCTTCCTTACAGAATGCGTTATATTACACAAACATTCACATAGTGCTATATTTAGGTCATATTTTTTTTCTTCCAAATATTCATTTTACGCCTTTGCTTCAAAAACATATTGTGCCCCATAATAGAATTAATTAGTAAAATGCTGCATACAATAATATCACAATATTTTGAACAGAAAACGGCCCGACGGAGTCAATTAACAGAAGAAAAGCAATTTGTTTTATAATGTGGGAAAACTGATCTTGAATAAAATGTTAAAAAAGTGACGAAATCTAAAAATCTGCTAACTCATCTTATCTAAATCAATATTTTTCTTGGAATCGTTCCATCAGCAATCTTCTGCAGATTTTATCATTTTTTTCTGGCATTTATCTGAAAATTGAAATATGATCTCAGGTATATCCCAACACCCTTATAGGTGAAAGTCTCTAAAACTTCATAGAATTGAAAACAATTGTTGATAAAGAGATATTCCCTGGTATAGTGGGTAAATGTAGCTTTGTTAGTAGTACATTATATTAAAGCCCCATGTAGGCCCAAAGATATAAGCACTTGTTCCACAACGTTTGACAATTTGGGTTCATATTTTCCCCTCACAGCTTTTTTCAGTGATGTTTAAAAGTGTGCAAAAAGTTAACTATTTCATTAAAGTCATAAATTTTCCGTACTTTTATGATTCTTGAATCAAATACCAAAAGAATCATCTCGCTTTAAGCAACAGTTTCTTAATAGACAAAATACCAATTTCGCTTTATCATTAAAAAAACCCGATTCCTGGAGATACATTTATTTCAACTTTGATGATGGACAAATTCTTTATATGAAGTTACTGCTTTTACATTAAAAGATATCTTTTCGCAGATACATGTACATCACAACATCCGATAATTGTCTTCCAGAAGTCGGAATAGCCTCTAATCATTATGAATGGAGTTGATGCCGACGATGGCTGTGTTATCACGGCTAACATAATTGATGTGAATCCAAGTTCAATACGAACGACCCCGGGGTTAATAGAAAGCCTCTTTATTTGAAGTGAGAAAATCAAATAAATGGTAATGTTATATGTCTAGTTCGATGAGTTCTATCAACAACTAATCACACGCATACACCTACCCCATCTCCCGCGCAAATCTTTGAGAATATCACATTGACCATGAACAGAACAATAGTAAACCATACAAGTGTATATTAATGATAATATTCTGGTCTGCAAAAAGGTTCAGGAGCGAATATTATTACGTTCTTTTAATGATATTTGTATACCATTACCGTACTAGATTATATAATGTTTTTCGCTGAAATGTGATTTTATTGTTCCGGTATTACAAACAACAGTGTCTAATTCTCAAGTCCAAATAAAAAATAAATAGGTGGATAATAGGTAGATTTTTTTTCTGCTTGGTCGAAAACCATGAAATACTGGTACTGATATTAGTGAAAATAGATTTACTAATGTACACATTTCTATTTCTTTCGATCTGTTTCCTCCTAAGACGTAAACTTTCTTTTCTTAGGACCATCGCCAATTTAGGATTTAATAACTTTATTTCTATATGTATTACCTTTATATTACAGTGACGAATGTTGACATACAAGAACTGTCGCTATAAGCCATTCAATTGTCTTTCATACAAGTTCAAAGTAACCCCAGATCTACAAAATGCCAAGTATATCATATATCATATTTTATATACATTATTCAATACCATAAGTGTATATAAATAAGTTAGAGCGGGAAATAAGGTCAATAAATAAATGGGTTTATATCTGTATTTGACAACTGATTGAAGTTGTTTCCATATACTGTAAATAATCAATACCGATAGTTTGTCATACGTTATCTCAAAATATATGTCAATATACCGATAGTTTGTCATACGTTATCTCAAAATATATGTCAATTTCCAATTTTGTATATTGGTTGATATATTTGTTACACTAGGTTCTTAACAATACGTAACATGGACCATCACATATATAATTGTCAAATTTCAGATCAAGCCAAATATAATACCCAGTAATTACTTGATCTCTATGGACTATTACACCATCGCTCGAATTCATAGAATTCCGAAATAAGACAAAATGGTGGTCCTTTAGTCAAGAATTTAGGTCAGTGGTTCGAACATTTATGGTGGATTCTCGAATATGGGTTTTAGTTCTGTTTGCCAGCTATAAAGTAGACAATACAGATCACTTTGCAAATCGGATTGGTAAACACCGTCAGGGTAGCTGCTATCTTGCAATGATGTTGTCACTTTATTGTGTGGATGGGTCAAACTAATCGTGGGCGTTGTTAATACGCTCATTCCGTGTAGGAGTTCCACCCTCTCCTTTTCCGAAAACCCTTTGAACACGACAGATGCTACAGTTTTTAACCTTGTTTTTATTTGAGAATATGAAAGCGATATAGATTAGATTTCTTGAAGGCATAATGGATCCTTATGAAATTTGGTCAACATTCAATTTTTCTTGTCGGATAAGCTGCGCTCGAGACATGGATGCTGTGTGTGGGGGTATTTCCACTCTTTGTTTGGCAAAAATTTCATTATGTAATGTCACCCAATGTACAAGAAACTATGCCTTATTTGTAACCAATATGCGGTTGGCGTAGACATTCTATCTATGAACTACAATTCACTTATTAATGACCAACAACAAGTAACAAACACATTCCACCGCCAAGAATCCCTACAAATCGCCACATGAGACATTAATTTGCCTTAGTACTAAATGAGAATAGCCAACAATTACATTATTAATTGGCTAGGCGCGAGTCAAGACTAATATCATTCCCATCGATAGTTGGTGGTCATTAAGTTATGACGTTTCAAATGAGTCTGTTTTATCACGACACTCAGAAATATCTTATTGTGAACTTGCTGTGATTGTCTATTTCTGAACACCATCATATCGTTTCGTTAAGTGTACATGACAGCCGACATTCATCAAGAAAGAGTTATCATCTATCTTAATAGAAATCTTTCTGAAACAAATCCCAGCCAAGTTAAAGGTTATGGACCACATACCGCCAGTTGATCAAAAATAGGAATAACCCTTCACAGTAGGTAATTAACCACATTAAATCACTTGCTAATAAAAACGATCAAGGAAATATACGAACCGAAATCCATCATACACCTCTAAGAAATGTAATTTGAGATTTAGCCAGAGGACTGAACGCAGTTAATTTGATCGCTGTAAGTGGACTCCGACCGATGAAAAACTGAGCAGTTGTTTCCTAATTCTATATTTCTTTCTGTATTTTTTAACTATTTTTTAGAAATCATCTTATTTCAATTATTTTCAGTTAATAATCTAGACATATTTAGAATTACCAAAATAACAAATATTTAATTGAATTTTTCGTCCGACTGCTTTCTGTAAAGATGTGGGTGGCCGAATGGTTTAATGCGTGCGCCTTAGATCATAAGGTCTGTCATTGAGTCAAATAGCGTGGCCGATTCCCTGCATGTACGTGACAAGGAGTGGGTCACTTGTCAAACCTCGTGAATTTTCTCCGGACCCACCGGTTTCCTCCCATTGCTAAAGACCCTTACGCGCAAGCGAATTATTGAAATAAAATTGAACTATATGTTGGTCCTGAAATGACCTAGTTTATACCGAGTGGGCGTTAAACTCTCTCTCACTCCCTCCGATTCTGTAAAAAAGTTTATATCAATCATAAAACATTTGATTAAAAGATCCTATTTTGTTTCGTTTTTTATAGTTCAAAATTTTCGTTTTACTTGTCTTTACTACACTAAGATCTGGAAAAGTTGTTATCATTGAAGTGTTACCTCGAGCTTTTGGCGTGTGGTAATCCACTAGAAACATCAATGCTGATTGATTGATCGTATGAACCCTGCTGCGACCTGTCACTAAAACTGGTCAGATCTATATTTCGTTTTTTTTATACTTTCGATGACCTCTACCACATGAAGATCTGACCAGTTGTAGTGGGGGTCGCGTCAGGGTCATACGCGTGGCTTTTGATCTTTGACGTCAGACATTTGATTAACCAATCAGTGTTGATATTTCTAGTAGGATACCCACAGTTCCGTGCATTGTACGCCAAGAACTCGCTGCAACAGACCGTTTCATTGGCTAATCCCTCACATCAACCAGAACGCGGGTTATATATCAACTCTTTCAGATCCTTGTATAGTAAAGACAGGTAAAACGAAATTTTGAACTACATAAACGAAACGAAATAGGATCTGTGTTTAAATCAGATGGAAGTTTTATATGAAATTTCTGATTCGTATTTACAAATTTTAATAATATAAAGTTCGAGGACTGGCAGATTTTAATTTCGTTTTCTTTTGTAAGATACATTTTCGTGTTTGGTTCAGTTTGAAAATACTGTCATATCAATTTCGTAAAAAAATTTTATTAACTGAAATCAAATTTTACTTTCCTTTTTTTTTCAGCGGGTTCTTTTGATTTACCAAGTTGTGGCGTCGGATTATCACCTATGGATATCAAAGCTGTATGTTTGTCGATATACACGTTAATATTATACTGGTTTGTGACATGATAAATATTTTTAAAATCCTACATTTATTTTCTCGGCAGCAACGTTTTTTAATGGGTTGTGATCTATTTGAATGTATATTGTGTAAAACTGAATGTCCAAGAATGAGATTGAAAATGACAAATCAAGATGACTTCAATGCGACTTAGATGGAGGCGACAGAAGTGGAAGTATATATACAGACATGTAGATAAGAATCTGTGATCAATGCAAATTATTAAAAAATAATTGAAAGCGAATAAAATAACTCACAACTCAAAATAGGAATCTCGTAGCAGCAACATCGCGACAATAGTGAAAGGCAAGTTACGAGTTGTTATTTTTCAATTGAAGACTCGTAAAACCCTCGGATTGAGATAACAGATTAAAGAAAGATCTTCATGGTGCATTTGTGTATTTTATCTGTTAGGGCAATTGTGCTATAGACCCGTCGTAGGTGGTATATGATCCCTGTTCATCTGATATATCAAAAACATGTGTTGGAATTATTTTCTTACGAAACAATCATATTGGCGATGGTTTTCCTAACGAATTAATTGAAAACACACTAGGAGAGCATCGTATCATAAGACGAACATACAAAAAGACTTTTAGTGAAATGTCAATACGAGACGTAACCCTAAGTTAAAGACATATTTCTCAAAATTACCAAACATTTGTACGTATAATATTTAAAGAATTTATGTTATATAGAGTAATTGAAAACATGATGGCGGTCACTTCAAGCAAAGTATTTTATTGCTGTTAAACACCCTGTTTTGTATTAACTATTTAAACATTTGAGCATTTTTATATACATTAAATCTACTGTTTGGTCCGCAGTTAAATCAACTATGTGAATGTGTGTTGTAGTAAAAGGACACCCTAGAAATGTTTTATACGCAACTAACAGAATGGCTTTAAGGATAATACTATAATGATATTAAAGTAACGTAAATAAGTGACCAAAAATTGTGTAAAAATGCTTTCTATTTTCCAGCCTCATCACTACAACTCTTTAGAAACAAATATAAATCGCTATTGCGTTGCTAATTGTGTATTGTTTCTATCTTCGTGCTCTAATTGTGTGCACGTAACAACACATTTTAGCGATGAAGTCATGAACATTTTTGTTGAACTTTGACTTTTTATTGTATTGTAGTATTAAAACAACTATACCTCGGTAGAATTATAATTCACACGTGTATATAAGATGTATAATATTTTCTTTTATTCTTTTGCAGATTTTTGAAATTGTTTATGTATATGCTCAGAGTGTGATACGTAATATACTTTAATGTATCAATTTAGCGCAAAAGATATCCCGATGTTAATATGGTAATATGTCTACATATTGTGTTTGTTGCGATGATTTTATCACTCAAAAGACAGTTTTTGCCGAGTTAATTTTACTAACGCGCTATGTTGTATGTCGCCATTTCGTTTTAAATGCGCACGCTTGCGTTATGACATTGTTCTTTGGAAATTTTAGCTACATACTCCATTATCACCGTGCGTTATGTCGATATATACTACCGCGAAATGAAATATGATGACAATGCTTCAGAATAGTAATATCTTAACGCAAACGTGCACATTCAGGACGAAATGAAGGCACACAACATGGTGCATTGATTCAATTAACTCAGCAAAAATTGTCTTTTCAGGGTTAAATTCATTCCAACAATCACAATATCTTGATATATTACCATATTAATATCGCGGTATCTTTCATTATATTGACACCTATACGCTTCCATAATCAAGCCCCTAATTTGTCAAATGAGGCAGGATTTAGGGAGCTTTTCTTCTTGCGATAGTGTATTTAAGTACAGATCAACAAGAAGAAGCTAATTTAAATAAAAAAACCCAACTAAATTATGTAGCCGATATCACTTTAGTTAATATTAAAGAAGTTGTATTACTGTATTTTTTTTATGTACCGTCCTATCAAAGTCTAATTATTGTTTATGATTGGTGTAATTAGTGTTCGCGACTAAGTAGCACCAGGCCGCACAATTTCCTTTCTTTATATATTATTCTTTGACTTACTACCAAAGTGGATATACTATCTAATAAGGATAGCAGACATTGCTTCCCATTTTTTTTGATATTATTTTTTCTCGCAGTCGCCGAAACATATCTGTTTTAATAAGGGGCACAGATTTGAGTGTATTAACCACCCTGGATGTTAACTATTTTGAATGCATAAAGGAGCTGGGAATCATTATTTTCTTTTGTCGGAGTATGGTGAAACAAGTTGTGCCAAATCTGCCTCTGTTGTTAGATAAGGAAAGACGATAACAGCAAAATTTTACGTACGACTTCTAAGTGTCCTGGAATTATTAAACTTACGCTGGCTATCCATTACGCGATGTTCTATTCAAAGAATACGAAGGACTGACGACTGCAGGAAAATGACACATTGGACGACCGTCTTTAAAAACATATGAAATCGCTATTACAGATAAATTGTTCATATTTTTCCATTTCTTGTTCTTTTTACACAAAATTAATGTTACAATAATTCTCCTCTAACTAAGTTTACAAACTTCGAAAGTATTTGACACCCAGCACTTTATTATAACCTTATACGCTTTCTAACCAAATACTGCTGGATCCGAGCTGAAAGAATACCAGTCTAAATAAAACTAGAACTCCGAATGAGTAATGACTTGTTTCGGCACGTTAGGTCACGTTAGGTCACCCTTGTCAGGTCAACAATCAAGTTACACCATGAATTATTGAGTATAGTAACATCCAATACCTATTAAAGTGGAAAAAACCCTGTCATTTTGAACTCTTAATAAAACCAGAAATTATACCTCAAGATCGAACTTTTGATATTAATTGTTAGTAGATCTCAGGATCATCATATATACAAAGGTCAAGGGTCATTGAAAGGTTAGGTCACCAGCTAGAAGATGAAAAGTCGAACAGAATTCAAAGTGAAACCGGAAGTAAACAAAATGGAAATTCAAAAACCGGCTGCCTAACAACTGTTGCCAATTGGAGTAGGTTCAAAATAAAAAAAGGGTTTTGAAAATCGAAATCAAAATGGTGACTGAATATCGATTTGAACATTTTTTGTAAAATTCAATATGGCGGCCAAAGGGTTGTCGATCACCAGTCGCGAATGGTCGTGTATATGTTGGACGTACACCTTCTTGGAGTGAAAATTACAGGTTCGCTCTACTAGTTCTACCGGGATTTTGTGATGTGTTCAGTTTGAAACCTGTTCTGGAGTAGGAACCCAGGGGATTATTTGTTCTGAAATTGTGTTTTATTTACTTTGGGACATACCCTATGAGCTAAAAAAGGAATCAAAGTTGTCCGTCATATTTGAAATAAATCTACGTACTCGGGTCACTAGCTGGTGTTCTGAAGCTAGAAGTCAGAGGATTTTTTTTTCTGAAGGGCACTTTTAAAGTTTGCCTTAAAGAGACAATAACACTCTTGCTGGCTTGAAAGCTCCAGAAAATAAAAAATATCTCTATCTAAGTACTAGATGTTTAAGTGTCCTACCTGTTGTGTAAATTATCCATTACATCCTATTTTACTTGTCCAGAGGGTTCGAAAATATTTTTAAATCGAAGTTTCATTTGAAAAGGTTTACGTTAGACGTTTCAAACCATTATGTTGAATTTTTCAAAATTTTTAAATAAGGTGTGTTAAGATGAAATTTGTATCATCAATTAATTGAAATATTCTAAAATAGTACAATTTGTTGACCAGAATAAAGATTGGGACATATTATTCAGTTACAATAAGAGTGGTATTGAGCCTTTAACAACGTGAACATATGTAGCGAAGATTTACTTTGTCCGCAAAAATTTGAATTAACCGTCAGTGGGAGCCAATATGGGATTCGTCCAAAGAATCCAAAAATGAAAACCCGAAGAAGATCCGTTGAGAAATAACCGAGATATGGGCAATCTGAGATTATTTTTTGTCCCATCGATAAAACACTTCCTGTTTGTCAATAACGTCCCAATTCATATTTAATAATTAGATCCACGGAGGTCAACCACATCTACGTTGGATGAATGTTTGCACCATGTACAGTTTTGGCTGCAAACTCTGACTAAATTCCACGCCCCCCTAAAAAAATAATAACAAAAATAATTTACAGAAACTAAGTGTTTTGACCGAAGGTCCGAAACACGTGGAGGGGGAGGGGGCGAATGGTTAGCGCGTGCGCGGTGTATCATAAGGTCTGTCATTGAGTCAACTGACGTGGTTTCAATTCCCCGGTTGTACGTGACAAGGAGTGGGGGCGCATGTCCAACCTCGTGGGTTTTCTACGGGTCCTCCGGTTTCCTCCCACTGCTAAAGACCCCTACCCGCAAGCAAATTATTAAAATAAAATTGAACCATATGTTAGTCCCGAAATTACCTAGTTTGTGTCGAGTGACCGTTAAACAGATGTTGTTAGACCTTGCTTTAGTGTAAGTATAAACAAAAAAGGAAAACAATGGAACGTAAGATCTAATTTTTATAAATTCTGACTATTCTAAGTACTAATGTGATTTATTCACACTATTTAAATAAAATTACCGCGAAGCAAATTATTGTTTGTTGTGAAACCCAGAACATGTTTTAATTAAGCCATTAAACTTGCTCAACTCTAAAACACAATCTACTTGTTAACAATATTTGACACTACCATTTAAAAATAGATACAATTGCTCGCCACGTATAAAGCTGGCATGAGTGTAATGCCAATAATTGGAAAAAGAAGAAAACTGTACAAGTTTCTCATATCATTGGAAATGACAAAAACTGTCGACATAATCTCACTTAACGAGTCTACCGCAATTTCAGCTGCGATATGTATATTTGGCAACTATCTTACCTACTCGTATTATGTCTTTGACTAAAAAAAAACTCTGTTTACACAATCCTTTAAAGCTTTAGGCAAAAAATTCTTAGTTTTTGAAAAAAGGAAAAGATAAAAAGAAGATTCAAATAGTCAAGGTACTAGTGATTGTTATTTGAATAAACTCATTGTGGCTTATTTTAGGTGCAAGTTGATTGATGAGTGTGAACAGGTAATCTGCCTCGGGTAATATCACTGACAAAAGACAAATCTTACGATTGCTATCTAAATAGAAATAAACAGATAAAATAATAGAGATATTATGGAAAAGTCTTGCCTAAGAAGTCGATAAACAAAAGGATATAATGGTATATGGTAAGGCCCCTTTCCCGTGGGTTGATATCTTTTCTTCCGGTTTAAGAATACGATTGTATTAATACTTCCGATTTACCTAATGCTAGTGTTTATGCCCTCTCATGACGACTTTACTAGTTGCAATGTAAACAGCGACATGGCGTGTTTGTTATTGTTAGTTTATTATCTTACATATACATGTAACTGCCAAGTCTGATTCTTTGTTACTGAATAGAATTGTCCATCGAATTTACATACACTATAATAGATTAAAGGTCAGCCCTAATCCTTCAGGACAGTAGGATCTGGAAAGAATTTTAGGTGAGCTGTGAATTGATTTATGGGACACATCTATAGGGCAATAGAGCACAAAACAGTTTTAATGAACGAATGAAGGAGATGGGGTTTAACTTTTGCCTTTTTGCTGCAGCCGGGCTAATGAATACAGCAGTCCAAAACAAAACAAACGTCCGGTCAGATTTATATGTTGCGTTATGTTTTTTTTTTATATTAGACAAATCAATCTTTAAATAAAATAACTTCTATCAAATCTGGAAATTGTTGTTTATGGTATGACATCTCGGAGTGAAATGTACACTGATAAGTAATTTCCCGTTAAAAGAAAATCATTGATGTTTTTCCCCTATAAAATGAATATTTGTAAATTTGGATGGAACTAGCTAATTTCCAATCTATATTTAGAAGAAGGATAATTGAATCAGTTTGTATAATTAGAAATTTGTGTGGTAGAATATAGATATTGAGCAGCCTGAATCGCCATATTGATCACCGCCAAATCCCAAGAACTGAATTTGAATACCAAATTGGCCATGATGAAAATCAACCGATGTAAGAATTAAATCTCTCGTCTGAAACAACATGAACACAACCCCATTTTGTCTGTCTAACCATGGTCTAACGAACGATAAAGCGATAAGTATTGACCGATATGTATTAATTGTTCATGGTAACTAGAATTCCTAGATTTAGACAATTAGATTGCGTCTATTCAAGAGAGGCTTTTGCATACAATTGTACTTTAGATATTGCCCTTAAAACATTAAAAGACCTATCAAGGATTCAAATTAGGCCATCATAACTTTATCTTGGTTGGGAGACATTCGCTCGATAGGAGTCGTTAATACACGCACGCCCAACGATCAAACCAGTTCATCTAAACTTCTGGTGGAGCGAATTTGATGTGACCTGTCCAATCAACCACTAATGTTCCCCATGTAATAGTTTTGTACCCCGTATTTCGAAGAAAGCAAGGGGCTATTAAAATTGGGTTCGTCCGCCCGTCTGTTCGTCACAGTGTTTTGGACATAATAATTCTATTTGAGCTATAATGTTCAAACTGGGTGTAGATCTTTCTTAGTTGAATGCCTTGATGTAGTTGATGGTCAGCATTGCCCGCTTAGGCTAAGCAGAGGTACAGCTTGATTAGTCGATACTTTAATTCTTATTGCGTGAGAGTGGTGAAAGTTGGAGTCGAACTAGGCCATGGACAGAAAAGGAATAGAAAAACCTCTTACCCCGTGGGGCTAACAGACAAACAGATGACAAATAAATATGCTGACAACGATATACTCATGCCATTCATAGGCCTTTAACATTCTGGTGATCTTGATCTTTATAACAACAAAAGCCAAACATGTCACAATCCTTTGATAAATCTCGATTTTTTACTACCTGATCCTTCCGCCTCAAAATCATTACTGTTCACCCAAACCTGACAGAATATAAATTTAAACACTCTTCTTCGATTCTAGACCAAAAAGGCAACAAAAAAACCCATGCAAAAGCCGTGGGGAGAAGGTGGGGTTGTTGTTCTTCTTAGTGTTTAACGTCCGCTTCCACCGAAGGTCATATCGCAGACAAGTTGTCTTATTTTCAGTATCTTAGCGCACACGCAGGGGGCAGGGGTCTTTCCTGTAGGAGGAAACCCACAAGGTCGAAAAGGCGCCCATATCTCCAAGCCACATACGCTCACACCAGGCATCGAAACCACAACCGCAAGCCATGCAGAGGTGACCGGACAGCTAGAGGTTGAAGCGCGGCACTCTAGACCACTAGGCCATCCCAACCCCCAGGTGGTGGGGTGTGAGGTGTGTGATATAAATAGACAAACTACAATCAGGGAAAGCAATTACAAGTCTTTGTCCGGAGGCAGACCACCATGGTGGGATTTACTGGTAGTCTGTTTCGAGATGGTGGATATGGTTTTAAAAGTTGCTTCCCCGGAGTGTATTTTGTCTACTTATAGCAATCCCCCCCCCCCCAACGCCTTTAGCATGGCGTTTTTGTTGACATTTTGGTCTAGAATCGAAGAAAAGGTTTGAATTTACATTCCGTCAGGTTTTGGTGAATAATCATGATTTTGAGGCGGAAGAATCAGGAAGTAATAACACATGAATCAGATCAATGTGACATGTTGGACTCTTTGTGGTTATAACGATTAAGTTCACCGGAATGCTCAAACCATTGAAGTGTGAGACCATATGAGTTGAACGGATAGTACCGTGTCTGTAGCCATCAAGGCGAGACAACTCCATTTAAAATTGTCGGTTCTTGACGTATAGCTGTTAATTCTTTCCCCCCACAAGACTTCAATATTAATTTCACACTATTGGACCCGTAATTGTGTTTTAAACATTCTGTGAAGACAACCCTTTCTACCAAAGGTAATCAGAAAAATACGGAAGTAAAACGGATAACTGGCAGAAGAGGTTGGATAAAAATCATCTAAAATTGTACGGGAACTAACTGTGCTTGATTTCTTCTCCCATGGATTGTCAGGAATATTTCCAATAGAATTGTCTAACCATTTCTTCAGATATTGGGATAAGGAACTGGGTCTTAAGCGCCACTTAACTGTTGGGTGGGTTGGGGTGGGGTGGGATGGAATGGTTAACGCGTGCGCTTTGCATCTAAAGGTCTGTCATTGAGTTAAATGGCGTGGTTTCGATTCCCCAATTGTACGTGACAAGGAGTAGGGTCGCCTGTCCAACCGCGTGGGTTTTCTCCGGGTCTTCCGGTTGGTTTCCTCCCACTACTAAAAACCCCTACGCACATGCGAATTATGGATATAAATTTGAACCATGTGTTAGTCCCGAAATGACCTAGTTTGTGTCGAGTAAACGTTACCCCCCCTCTCTCTCTCTCTCTCTCTGGACAATAATGTGGATTGACTTCGATTTTTGATATAACGTCATAATTCGTACTTTTTTAAAAACTTTATTTATCATTCACATTTTTATTATTGACATGTGATTATATTGATATTTACATAATAATTATATACATTAGAATAAAGGATAAATAAAAATTCATGGAGAATGTGAAAATTAACAGCTAATCTGACTTTACCATCTTTGGGTGGACTGCGAGTGATTTAGGTTCGGGGGTCCCTAAAGAAGTTAATGTTCCCACTTGAATTTACGTCGTTTTTAATGAATTGGTAAGCAAAACAGTCTCCGGAGGTTTTTTACTCAAGATATACCGTAGAAAGCACCATTTACAGTCAGTTGTCACCCCCCACCCACCATACCCCCAGTCCGTCCCTGGCTATAACTAGAATTTTATATAGTTAGATACAATATTATGTCTAATTACTAATAATTTACAAACCAATTTGATAATACTGAACAGTTAATTAATTATTGATTTTTATACATTAACTATATTACACTATTTACAAGAAAAAAGGAAAAAGATAAGAAGAAAAGAGTGATGTTATTAACTGTTAATTTGTTAAACATATAAATAAATGAATAACTAAGTTTATTAGACAAACATGTATGGAATTTAAACAAAAGATATATCTCCGCCTTAGATTAGTCGCATATTTCCTTTTTACGCCGCAGCCCCCCCCCCCCCCAACTCACCCCCAGAAGAAAGACAGCCGATTCTTTACTATATAATACAATATATACAGATTGTTAATATACACGAGATCATGAATTCTACAATTTTAAGCGAATAGTTATTCTTAAAAAATAATTCATAGCAAAGCGTAGCAGCGACGGAGCCAGCCAAGGACCATTTGTCGGAGATTCTTGGCTTAGTTAACGAGAAGGCAGGAGGGGGTGAATGAGTACGTATCGGCAACCATACTTGCCCCATCGATTATTAAAATAACACATCAGATCAACCCAACCAACTACTTTTTGGGGTCTAAATCAAAGTTAGTCCGCGGGGTAAAGTCTTGTTCAACTTAATGACTTTGTTACAGTCTATATCACCTGATACCGCTTCTCTCTGAGGAGTTTTTTATAAGTAACAAACGTTTGTTGTGCGTTTACATGTAAACAACCTGTGGCCTTAGGCCGCTAGGTTATTTTAAAGCTAGTAGCCTTTGGCTTCTGAATATCGATGCTCCAGCTAGGTACAAGTAATGTTGTTCTTCCTTCGCTCCACATCAATTTCCAGTAGATTAAGTAGAATATACGTGTAAAGACCTCATCGCGTAATGTTCACCGACATACAAGATTAATATCCACATTAGCCTTGTATGTGGAACATATGATGCAATAAGTGTTTTATATGGTTTTTGGCTAAAGATTATGCGCCCATGCAGTGGGGTGGGGGTGAGTTTGGCCGGAGATCAGAGATCTGGTCTACCCCATCTATAAATCCTGACAGGAATTGAATGGAGTTCAACATTTCGTCCACACAAAACATTTTCTATGGTTTAGTTTACGAGGCGAAATAGGCGAATTTTGACAGGAACGTTTCCAACGTGAGTTCCTTCACTTGTAAATCGATATGTATCCAGTGAGCTCCAGTTTTCGTTTTATTCGAACGACTAGACACACATTTTGTCATATCCACAGATTCATCCATGACAAGCGCAATCCGACCTTGAAAAATCTCAAAGGCTCTTCGAACCAGATATATTCTAGGTAGAGAATCCAGTGCTCAGATCGTTCGACTACTACGGTCATCCAATCCGGAGATGAAAACTCCCAACCGAGTCCCTTATCGCATCGCCTATACACGTAAGGTATTACGATCAATAATCCAATCAGATATAATGACTGTATTGATTAAAATCGGAGAACACTAGTTTCTGTAATCATCTCTTATGTCGTGATTATAACGATTTGTTAATCTATGGTGGGTATCTTGAAACTAATGCAAGTGGTCCGACATTTTGTGTTTACTGGTTAGTGACCACTTTCACGAAATGTAGTTGGTTTCATTATTTGCGTAAATCAATTAAATATTGACCGTCATCTGCGTACAGGGATTTGTAAATAACACAAAGAAAATAAACGAAACTTACTGAAATCGACTAAGGCAAACTATGAACAGTGCTAGACAAAGAACGCAACCCTGTAGCAAACCCCGCGGTTTGTTATACTGAAATAATCAATATGCTGAAATTAGTATATTGTATTATATGAAATGTTTTCCTAAATTTTGAAATAATAGATATTGTATTCTATATTGTTAGACAGGTCAAAATAATTACGATATGTAGTGGTCATTGAAATAACAATTTCATCAACACCATATTAAACCATTTCAAAGTTTCACATATTTTGTGAAGATGTGAAGAATTTCGTCCTATATGACACACAGAATAAACCCAGCCAATGTCGTATTCGTTTGTCATTTATATGTATCCAGATGCAATTTTGAGATGTTTAAATAACGTATAACCTGCATGCAAAAAAATAAATGGTTAAGTGTGCCCCTTGCATCTCGCTACTTTAAGTACATTAATTGAAGTATTTGCCTACAATATATTGAGTTACAAAAATAGATAAGAAGCTACATAGATTTAAAAAGAAGAGGAAGAAAATTAACCATTCAACCACACAATTAAACAAAATAATATTTGTTTCCTGAAAAAACAAATTAAAATTAGTGCCAAGCATATAATATCTATCACATCAATGTATTTTGTTAGTGCATCATTAAAGAAACCCGTTTTGATTTACGTCATCCCCCCCCCCCCCAATCCACCAATTGTGTAGTTGGAACATACAATGAAAACATCGTGGTACAAAGAATATTTTACTTTGGTCTGTTGGTGTTTCCACCACTTAGCTATTGACCATTTTTCTTACACAAGAGATTAATGTTTTTACTTATTTTAGAAAATATTTTATCATAATATTTAAAATTTTGACAGAAAATATAATTTAATCACATTTTTCAGTTTTTAAGAATGATAATTAAAACATGCATCTATACCTAGAGGATTTTATAAAATAAATTACATTACTAACAACAACATAAACATAGCACAACCTTTTTAAACAAAGAAAAGGACATTGTCAGTATATATTTAAACCGTGCTGTTGGAAAATAGTTTGACACAAGATAAATACATATACGTAAGCTAACACATTCTATTTACCCATGAAACGGTATAAAACTCTAAAAAATTTCGGACAAATCAAGATTTGTCTTTACTGTTGGTTATATCCTTTTCAGCGTTCATTATGTACCGTTTCTTGTGTAAATTTACACCAGTATCTCTACCACAGCAGTGATAAATTATATAAAACAACAATCATTGACAAATCGCATTAGCTATAACAATGCAAGTTATGTTTAGTACCCACTATACACTTAAATCCAATCATGATCTTTGACGCTTCAATTGTGGTATAGTCATCAAATGGGACAATTTAAATTAATTAACGTATCATTACTGATGTTACAGATATGACTGTTTCGTTATAATTAGAAAGGATGTGTTGCTTAGTGTTTTTTTTTTACATATTTAAAAAGTCAGAATTGATAACCATATCATCATTTACACCATTGTACTTCTACATTCTAGGTAACTTAGTATGACTAATAAACATGCTTATATTAGCTATAGAATGAAAGAACTCGGGGGATGCAACGTACGTGGACTCAGCACTGTTGGTGTACCCATGTACAGAGTGTCTGAGGTTATAAGATGTAAATAGATTCTTCTCCATTACTGCTACCATCTGGTCTCAGTCGTAAAAATCATCTTCTTCCATTGCTTCATTATACTATTGTTACATGCACATTTGATGTTAATAAATGTTGTACATAACTAAGCATCATAGGCAATATCTGCATATTTGTATCCACACAAACCGTGAACGATTGCACATCAACAATGAAAATGTTAAGCCCATCACAAACTAACAGCAAGTAATAATTGGAAGCTGAAAATTTCACAATATAAACTGTATCTAAACAAACCCATTTTCAGGTTCGTCCCATTTTCCAATGCAAGTAAACGTTTTCTGCATGCAAAAGTAATGATCCAGCAAATATTTTTATTTAATAAAAAAAACAACAAACAAACAAATTAGGGGCAGGGTAGACATGTTAAAATTATAACCAGATCACAACTAACAGGGTTACAGCAAGTCCACCATAACATGCACCTTTCCACCACACCCGACCTTACCTAGAGTTCTCTTTATTTAACTGGTTATAGAACTGCTCGAAACTGCTATGCAAGTTCGTAACTGGCTACCCATCTTTCGTCATTAGATCTGGTCGACGAATCTGTTTTACATTTTCTACTGAATAGACTGTAACAGACGCTTTCAAAGCAAATAAGCGCTATTATATCCATCGTTCGACTTTCTGTGTATCAGCTTGAAGTATTTACATATTATACAAGTAGTATAAAAGCGGTATATACAAAAACCTGAATTATAATGATAACTTGAAAGATCTTTTCATTCATATACTAAAATAACAGTAATGTCTTCTCATCGGTACCATTCTCCGCATGTTAACTGATTGCAAGGGTACTGAAGAAGAAAATAAAGACATTTTATTAGAAATTAAAAGAATTGATCTAGGATAATTAAAGCCGCGGTCACATCTTAGTCACGCACGTAGTTGACCATATAGGGGGATGACCGTAGTTGACCTTCGTTTTACGTATTAAACGTAGTTAGACGTAGTTAACCGTAACTCAACGAAATTATACACATAGTTTGAACTTCAATAAACCCATGATTTGAACGTGGTTAGCTCAAAATTGTTCAACATGTTCAAAATATCTCTACGATGATCTTGGATGTGAAGACCCTACGTGGCCGTAGTTTGAACGTATTTGACCCTACTTGACCGTAGTGCTTATCGTAGTTGACCGTAGTAACATGGCACAACGCTTAACACTACGGTCAAGAAGAGTCAACTAGGGAGAACTACTAGGGTTGGACTACATTTGAAGTACGTTTACAGCACTGTCAAGTACGGTTAACTACGTCTAGCAACGTTTAACTAAAGGTCAACTATGGTCTACTTGGAACCATCTTCAACCTAGTTAACCGTTGTGGCACTACGGTGGACTTCGGTCAACTACGTGCGTGGCCGTAAGATGTGACCGCGGCTTAAACCCTTATATAGCAATCAAGTTTGACATTTTTCAGTCAAGATTTTCTAAACGACCGTATTTCCACGGATGCTTAATATTCAATAAGATAAAAATATAAAAGAGAGCAGTGTACCGATATGGGATTACCTCTTAGAAGCGTGAACTGGTTAGTGGACATTGCACATTCCAAAATACTTTGTTTGTGAATTTCTTGACAAGCTTATGCTAACATTTGCCCCTTTCCTTTCACATATACATAACCGGCTCATTGCATGAACTAATCTAAACAGCAGTGTAACAGATCCATAAAGCCTGTGTACTGTCCTAATACAAAATGATATTTGCTGTTGAACCTGCCATTAAAAACCTCACGTACGCAGTTCTCGGTAATTAGCAAAACTGCGTATTTTGATCAAGTACATGTCTATAGAACCTTTTTTTATTGTATAGAATATATGTTTTCACGGTTTTAAATCAATAAATACATACCCATTGCGCAGGATTGCCAAAGATTCATTGGTTTCATTTCTTGATTAACTTAATTCAACCGAATTCGCACGGCCACATCAATGAAAATGACCAGGCGGTGGAAGTTTCCGTTTGTGAATACTAAACTTTTTTTACCAACTATACCAACATTAAGTTATAGAACAAAACCATGCTAACATTTAACTTCTACACTTCTACAAAGTGATCATTTAATCGAAAGGAAAAGGCGTAAAAAATTTAGTCGATTTGCTGCATAAGATATCAGTTGGTCAGACGGATCTGAATGTTTAATTTCATTGACTTTATAGCCGTCATCACACAAAGTCTATAAATACGATCGGACTGTTTTTCAACACACATATTTATTTTAAACTAATGTTAACCTGTCTTTAATCTTACGGTCATATGTAACGCATTTACTTCAGTTGAAAGTCAAAGCTTTAAACTATACGAAGCTTTGAATAGAGAAATTCAAAAGAGTGGTGCTTCAGACAGAATCTATAATAGATTATATTCCATAGAATTGTGACCTGTATATTCCAGTTCAATTACTAAATGCCATTGAAACAATTTTTTTTATTAAACTGCTCGGGTCATTACCATTTTGGTGATTCGCCATCATATCTGATGGTAATGGTACGCCTATAGATACCACCATGACATGTTTTATAGTATAACAATAATGAGTACTACTTACCAATTGCTAACCCGAGTTCCACAGTTTCCACATATATTTAAGGGGAAATCACACTCCTGCGTTGTGGGATTAAAATAAAACCCTCCTTTATCGTAACTACATTTTTCATAACCAATAAATTGTTCCTGCTGACATACAAAGTAATATTCACAACCCTTAAGAGGTGCTGAATATCTACCATTAGGTTTTCCCTGACAACTTGGGGCAAGTCCACAGGGTGCGGGTGTATCATTGACGTCTTCACATTTATGCGTTTGTTCATTAAATACGAACCCTGTTTTACAGCTCTGAATTTTAATGACGAATCGCTGCTTGCAGGTGAAAGATGACAGGCAATTATTTGCAATATCGGCATAGACTCCATCTGACCGAGACATACAGGGGTTGGGAAGATCACCACACGGTTGGGGCGAGTTCGGAGTGACTTCACATCTTTCGGTGTATGGATTGTAGGAACCAAATGGACACTTTAGATAACCAAGCAAACTTCGTGTTTTACAGTGGAAATATAAAGGACACCTTCCGTATGGATCTGAATAATAACCGTCGTCTAGGTCCGTACAAATGTTATTGGTGATATTACCACAAGGAGGTTCCACATCGCCAAATGTGCATCGACCCTGACCTGCGCTGTAAACAGTTTCTCCGATGCACTTGCTGTATTCGGTGAACTTTGACTGGAAACATTCGAAATAAACGTCGCAACGCCCAGATTCATCGGGATAGAATCCATCTCGACGACCATTACAAACCGGCCTCAGCCCACCATAGCTCTTTGGTACGTTCTTCAGATGCTCACATTTTTTAGTTTCGGGTGAGAAAATTGGCCTTGGATCTCGACACTGTAGTTGTTGGGAGCTGCGTTCATCTCTACAGATGATGTAATTAGGAGTCCACTCCTTAGATGGAAATGGATGATAACCGTCTTCCAATCCTTCACAATTTCCATAGCGGAGAGTACATGGCCGACAGTGGGATGTTCGACATAAATTTTCTCGGTATAGACCTACAACGAATACAGGCTATTTTAGTAAGTTGTGAAGGATAATATATATATATAATCATAGAGTAATAATTCCGTAAGCGGATAGCAAATCTGATTAAAACACAGAACCTATTTTGTTTCGTTTTTTATAGTTCAAAATTTCGTTTTACTTGTCTTCACAACACTACGATCTGAAAGAGTTGTTATATAAGCCGCGTTCTGGTTAATTTGAGAGATTAGCCAATGAAACTGTCTGTTACGGCGAGTTCTTGGGTAAACTGTGGGTAAGATTTAGATAAAGAGCTGACCATTCTTGCTATAATATCTCAAAAATAGATAATATGTTACTTCATTCTGAGCCAAATTATCACTGTTTTGACAAGATGTGTACATAGTGGTAACCAGATCACTGGTAAATTCGAGACTTAGCCTGGCTTTCCCCATTTTTAAATAAAAATTTCAAATGCCGAACCGTTCTAATCTAGCTAAAATCTCGAGTATCCGATGCCATTGAGAGTTGATTATGGTCTTGTTTTGTTAATAAATGTCTAATTACTAGTTTATATAACATTTCAGGCCCAAAGAAAGACCTGAAATAGGCAGATTTAGCTCTTGCATAATGTATGTTTAATCAATGTCTGGCCAAAAGCCGCTCGTATGACCTCTGACGCGACCTCCTGCTTCAACCGGTCAGATCATCTTCATGTAGTGTAGGCCACCGAAAGCATAAAAAAAGAAACGAAATATAGATCTGTATTTTAATCAGATTGTTTTGGACTTTTTAGTGGGGGGGGGGGGGGTAGATGGCCAAATAGATAGCGCGTGCGCGTTGTATTATAAGGTCTGCCATTAGGTCAAATGGTGTGGTTTCGATTCCCCGGTTGTACGTCACAAGGAGTAGGGTCGCCTGTCCAACCTCATGGGTTATTTTCCGGGTTCTCCGGTTTTCTCCCACGGCTAAAGACCCCTACGCGGAATCGAATTAGAAATAAAATGGAACCATGTTAGTCCCAAAATGACCTAGTTTGTGTCCAGTGGACATTAGACCCTATTTTTTTCTCTCTCTCTCTTGGGCTTAAATTTATCAATGGCATATCGTTCGTTCAATATCAATAATTCTTTATTGGATGGCATTTTATGAAACGGAAAAATGAAAATTTTTCACTTGACGCACTCACCCAAGTACATACTAAGGAGTAATTTGCCTTGTTTTTTTTTTACGAATGTGCTCGTTGTGAAATGTCACTGTTGAACCGATTTATAGTTCATTACTTAAGCGGTGGACACACTAGATGAACGATTCGTCCGAATCGTTCTGCCGAATCAATCGGCGTCGAAATTCTCCTAGTGTGTCCACTGTCATTCGACCGAATTTCTATTCGCCCGAATCAAACAGGTTTGATATATTCGGCCGAATTATATTCGTCTGGTGTGTCCGCTTCGCCGAAGCATTCGGCCGAATATAGAATTCATTAGCCAATCACCACTCATATCGAGAAGTCACGTGATAGATTGAAGATATAGACGCCGCCATGTTTAATCATGTGACGTGAAAGGCGATGCAACCGACAGGTTGAATCGGGCGAAGCATTCGGCTAGTGTGTCCACCCATTCGGCCGAATGATTCGGCTAATGTGTCCACTGAGAAAACAATGTTTGGGGGAGGAATTAAAATCTTTTCTGATTAACCGCAAATATCCAATGCTTTTAACTAGGGAATGACTTTCTCTCAAATAAATTTACGAACCGTACAACCCAAAACAAATGAGAGTCCTAACTTATGTTTCAACACATAATCCATTTCAGAACTAATAATCACTAGTTAATTATACGTGTTAGTTTCCAGTGGCTAAATACCACAATCCATTAAATCACCCCAAAAGCCCCAAAAATGAACGCAAAATCAGAAAAAGAAAGCATCCCCTCACGTGCAAAATTTTAATCGGAAACAGTGTTTTATTCAGTGACAAAATGTGGCAGAGACAATTTGAGCACAATATCGTTAATGCACCAATTTAATTATATATTAAGTGGTAGTTTCAATGAACTTTACATCGGTTCAACAGTACGCTTGACACTCCACGGACAACACTTCCTAAGATTTATTAAGTTGCACCTTTTTGTCTGCCGTCGCTGCATTAATTCGACCATTACATTGAAATCCTACGGCTACTTGGATACATCCGAATGTTTCGGGTTCAATTCGTGGGCCGAGAAGAATCTTTGAGAATATTCCAGTCCAGTTCTAAATTGTCATGAGTGCCGCTTTTGGTGCTGACAAGAAGGTACCTAGTTAATGCAGTTGGGCATAGGACAAATTGTTAGTGCACTTAAACGACGCAATGATATATTGAATTTGAAGAAAAGTAAGTTGAAACGCCGCAGTCTGGACAAAATTCTCATCTCATTGCATCCGTAACGAAATGAGTTTTGGGATAGCAATAACAATAAACCACATAGGAATTGCTTTACTGCTCACATTTTGTTGCTGGCTAAATACAGGATTTTACCTCACCCGGCGCCACAAGATCACCGATGGTCCGTGTAAAAATTGTTAGTGAACGTAAACGGGTCCATAGCCACCCCTGACACAAGTTGTTGTTGTTAGTTAGTTGTATTTTACGTCCGCTTCCACACAAGCTCACCACAGAAAATATATATCAACAAACATACAAAATGCTGAGAGTGTGTCGTTAGGTGATATACAAACCCATCCGTATTTGCCATATTTGATTTTAATTAGCTCTTCTTTCCGTTTGTTTTTCTGTCTAATCGAAACATTGATTAGAGGGTGTAGCGCGGCACATGACTGAGATAGACGGGGGCAGGCTATAGAATCTCTTATAAATATAATTAACGTTAACTATAAAGCAGACCTAAAATGTAACGCTTTTCCGTCTAAATTACGTTTAAAAGCATGAACCAATACTTTAGAACAAATTATACGTAAAAACAATGAGTTATCAAATCGTATGAGTAGAAAAGTTATATTAGTACTTACATGGATTCTTAGATAATTTACGATATCCACACTCAACTTCACTATAATCTTCGCATGTTCTCGAACTTAAGGAGAATAACTTTGGATATGGACATTCGCTAGTCATGGGTTCGTTGTATTTCCATTCAGCTAAATCCACAGATAAGGAACAGTTGTAGTACCAGTGGCATTTCTCAGCATGAGGTAAAATTAATTCAGTGGTTGAAAAAGCACACGGGTGATTCGGGAACGTGCCTGTAATAAAACAATGACAATATTGAACATAACTGCCTCAAAAGCATCCGATTTGGCTACATAAATGTTTATACAGTTTCTTATATTCAATTAAAACATAGCTATGGTGTCATACTTTGATCTTTTAATCCATTATAATGAGAAGTGGATTCTAGTCTTAAAAACAAGTCCCTTATTGATGAAAAAAATCTATTATTAATGGAAACAGTCCATTATTTTCACAAACTGTTAAGTATTTTTAAAAACTGTCCATTATTAATGAAATATATATTAATAATGAAGAGTGGTCATTATAAAGAAAGCTGCAAACAAATCAAAACAACCTGACAATTTATTACTAATTTCTCTTTTAAACATAATCAATGTTCATTTTCCTGGAATCAATGGACACTTTTGAATTATTTTGTTTTCGACTTGAAGTCCGATAGTTGGATGTCGCTTGTTCTTGAACGATGTCTAGTTTTTTCACAATGAGCTATTAAGGCGTAAATTATGGTGTTAAGTAGCTTCTGTGGAATATTTTCGCCTAAAAATCCCTCATCCCAAAAAATATATTCTTGCTCTTAGGTTACTATATCAGCTTGGTTCTTTTGTAAGCTATGGCCTTTTCTGGGCAAGTCTTTCATCTTTCATCTAAGACATTGCTTAGACCACAAAATTCATTGTTTTAAATAATGGTGTATAGAGACCAAAATTTCATAAAGAGTGTTTGGTCTATATTCCCCTCCAGATACATTCCAAAAATCAACAATAAAATATGTTAATTTCTTTCTTGGCAGGATTATTTCTCTGGTCAATCCATTTTTCAAAGAATTTTACAGCCCACATAATTCATTGTTAATTTACTTTTGTAGCTCCGGTTGTTTCAACGGCTCAGCAAATCTGTAACTACTAGGATTATTATCGACTTTAGATTTTACTTTAGACTCAGGTTTTGTATCCACATCTGATATATCAGAATATGCCTTTCTCCCGATATGGCGTAAGGATTTCAAGTCTTGAACGATTATATTTTTGGGGGTAAATTTGAAAATTCGTGCATTCTTAGATTGCGCCAGACTATTAAAAGAATATCTCATATGACATCAAATAATATTTTAATATTTATTTATATTAGCCAAGTCGGAGCAGAACAAACAGTAAGGCGTTAAACATCATTTCATTTTATATTAATCAATACCATTTTAAATCATCATTGATAAACATGATTTCATACTAACTTTTAACATCATATGATGTATATAGATCTAATTGTTTGACAACATTCTGTAGTGACAAATGAACATTTATTGAAATGGGTATGAACACACCTTTCAAAGTAGAGGTACTTACGTTTTATTAGAGTTATTCTTTGAAATAGTGGACTCCCTTTCTTGATTCTAGCTGCCATTTTATCTGTTGAAGTAGAAGATGTAATATGAACCTCATCACTGAGAAGTGTATTGGTAAATCTCTTCTCGTGCACTGCTTTCCGAGTAACTATGGTTGCTGCAATTTGACTAAAAGAGCAATCGTCCCATCTAGAACCTTTAGGAACACAATTTCTTCCTCGTTGAGACCAAATATGAGTATCCGGACAGGCTGGCATCCTAATAGGCTGACCTGCAGCGCAGACTATGTAACGGTTGCATGTATTCGGTTCTCGTACCCAGTGTAACGTTATTGTGCCTTTACATGGGTTGCTTAACGGTTTTAACAATGGTGCCCTTTCGGAATCGGTATTCCTGGCACAAATTCCAAGACAAAACAAGAAGAGGAGTACGACTTGAAAACGCAACATTTTACTTCTTGTAAAGATGTCCCAAGAGCTAGATACCGGAATATTCTGTTATAAATTCCGAAAATTCAGACTGTTGTAACTCCAAGAGCTTCCCTTTTCATGTATGCGTGTTTTATGTGAGTTTTCTTTGAGTACCCGTGTTTATATACCCGAGACGCCAAACAGAACGCTAATATTGTTCAACGTTATGTTTTCGCAAGGAATCCTGGGAGAGATACGGAACAAATGCTTGGTCCATAGCAGTGGAATTAGTTATCTTGTTTACTGGGGCAGAAATTACAAATTTGTTGAGACGGGTGAGGGAATGTGTGTTAACAGTTAGGTGATGTTTGAGGACTTGGTTATTTTAATTGATCTGTACACAATCTCTAGAATATTTGATCAAACTAAATTCATTAAACATGATTGTTGATTGATGTGAACACCTTATCAAAAAATTTAAATCTGTTTTATGTTGTCCATGAAACCTAGTATAAGTATATAGACAGAGATTCCTATATACATATCAGTAGAATTTTTATTCGTATGTACGCAGTTCATTACATTCCAAACCAAAAATTCAGCCTGTAATATTTCCCAGGATTTATTTTGATCCAAGATTTTTTTGCTGACAATCGTTCCTCCCAATTCCCTTCAATATTTCGAACTGAGTCAAAAAGAAGACATAAATATCCATCTAAATTTAACAGGATATAGTTAAACGTGTATTTCGCCTACATCTACAGTAAAACTAGAGAATTATTCTTATTGATATATAAACCAGGATATATTACTAATATAGCGTTTCGAAGCCACACTGCAACACAGGTTCCCTTTTTGAAATTAAATGTTTAATTTTTGAAGTCTACAGTGGCGCCATCCACATATTTTTGCATTACTGTGGAAACAATTTTTTTTGTTTACTTTAAATAAATTGAATACGAAACCGGAGTGGCGAATTCATAATTTTTTGGAAAAATCAATTTACACAGCTAGATCTGTAATTGAGAGCTGCATGCTATAATTTGAAATATTTGTGTACAACGATAGTTTAATACGTTGGGCATGCTCTACTGCTTGAACAAGAATTAGATAGGACGGTGGAGAGTTATTTTTATTTCGATGATAAATTACACCAAAGATCTATCTAATTGGCTATTCTGGAATGTTACCCCGCAAGTAATGTTGAAAATCCAGTTTCAAATAGAATGATGGAATTTTAGAATTTATTATATATTTAAAGGTAACACAAAATCATGACTTTGATAAATTGCGGCAAAATTTTAGTTTTTGTCATATATTTATTCGTATCTTGCTGTATTTCTTTCTTTTTTTTATCAAAAAATGGAAATTTGATTTATAAATATTGTATTGTGGAGTTAGAGTTATTTTACTAAGTGTGCCATGTTTTTCTTCGGTTTTCTAAATACAATCGATAGTGAAATGTTACATTGTAAATATTATCTGTTTTAGTTTGTTTTCTTGGCTTCAAATCAAAACACGTTTTACGTGTAACTTATAAGGCAATAGAAATTATGTCAGTATTTGGCATACCGCAAACTCCCTAACATTAATCTGGCACACCAGTATTTTTATTTCTTATATAGTTGTATATTACAAGAATGGAATTGCTATAGCTTGAATGGTAGTTCGTATATCATTATTTGTCGAACGGTTGGATCTGGCTTCAAATTACTGTAAGTTTGATTGGGTTTCTACAAGGATTTGTCATCACCGTACCCTTTCTGCTGTGTTATAAACCTATAACAGTAAATCTCTTTGATCTTTGGGGTATATTCAATGTGGTCCGAAAGTCAGGGGAGGCTTTGGATATATACAGGGGAATTGGGGGTTATTCTTCTGAAAGTTTTACTTTATTCTTCCAGGGTAGGCTTTTTTCCATAAGAAAACATGATATAAGGGTTTTCTTACGGGAATTCTGGGATATTCTCATCTTGCTTTATCCCACACGGAATGCTAACCTAAGGAATTTGACTTTGTATTTGACTACTAGTTAGAATCGAAAGTAATTAATTATCGATGATATAAAACAATTCACACACATGGTAAGTTCTTCCATTCAAGAAAATTTCTTACAAAATACGAAATAACAAGTACGTTCGTACTATGGACCAGGAACTGACCATGTTGTTGGATAAACTTCAAAAATCTAATTCGCCAAATCGATTCAGAATAATATTGTTCAAAGAACAAGCATGCCAATTTTCAAGTCGATTGGATTTGAATTGACGAAGTCTTAGGCTTTTTCGAAGAGCGTCACCCCAAGAACAAGCAAAAGGAGAACAAGATCAGTAACATTTAGCGACTAGTTCCTGGTCCAAAAATGCATAAAAAGCATGGAACAAAGTTGGTAGACTGTCCCCTTGACTAGCGTGAACCGAGAAGAAGCGTTGGTATTTTTCCAGCCCGGCCTTCATTTGTCAGGGGTTGTGCCAGAATATAACATTGTCCTTCCAAGTTAAACCCTCTTCCAGGGAGTGAGAGAGAGAGAAAGAGAGTTTAACGTTCACTCGACACAAACTAACATTTGTGTTAGGGGACTAACATTTAAAAATGTGTTTTCAATAATTCGGTTACGCGTAAGGGTCTTTAGCAGTGGGAGGTTGGACAGGCGACCATACTCCTTGTCACATACAAGCGGGGAATCGAAACCATACCACTTGACTCAATGACAGACCTTATGATACAACGCGCACGCGTTAACCATTTGACGATCCAACCCCCTTATGTCTTTAAGACCTTCTATGGCAATAAATGTATGTGAGAAATGATCATGTTTGTGAAACGGATATAACTAACTGGGCTAGTGTCAGTGGCTTTCACTTACCATCACCACAATTGTGCATGTTGCGCACAATTTTGTATTGTTTGCGATATCACCTCGGCGGAAGCGGACGTTAAATAAAGCTATTTCACACACACACACACACAATTTTGTACACCGTGACTCACATAGCCCATGATTCTCATTGCATAGGAAGATGTCCAACCCTACATTTGAGTCTATTTGACACTCATTTCCTTTCTTTTTTGTTATGTTATCATGTTTGCCTTTTGACGTTACACGAAAGGTGATGTTTACATGCAAGTCGGCAAAGCTGTAATTTGCTAGAAATTAGGAGTGATTTTTTTCAATTTTTTGTTAAGGTTTTCATTGAAATTATTTTTCCTTTCGGCTCTGCAGAAGCCAAATAGGTCGGTAGATGAAATCATTGACAGACTCGATGACTCGAACCCTGACATTTCTGATGACAGTAAGTTTATTGCTTAAAAACTCCCACGGGGAGTAACATACAATTACACAATTGTACATCTTGGGGGTGCGGGGTAAATAGATTAAAGGAAGAGAACTGTGCGTCATTTTTGGAGAGAATTGAATAGACAATTTGCTTCCGAAGTTTTCGTACTTTGTCCATTCAAGTTGGGAGTGTTTTTCATCTTCGACGACAGAAAGGGTACACTGGTTACATAACCTTTGTGGAACAAGTATATTTTTGTTAGGTTTATCAATCTCGACACCCGCCTTAAGTGTTGCAACGAGGAGAGGGTGGGTGGTGTCAATGGTGAGAACTCGTTTATAGTAGAACAGCATGCTTTTTATAGATGTCGAGCTGGAGTTGAAACAAGCCTACTTCAGATAGACACCATATATAGTGGTTCTTGGTGGTTGTGATAATATAGATTTACATGCATTTGTGGTGAGTTTATTGTGCTCAACTTTGCTCCATTTAGACACATTAAATGTTTTGCTATGTACATGTTCATTTCCTGATATCTCGCTCCCATAGATACTAATCGGTTTCACAACCACGCCATAGAGTTTTATTAATACCTGAATGGGGATATGGCGACTCCTTAAACTTAACCAAGCCCGTTTAGCTTTCTTTACAAGGTCCGAAACTGCTATATAGTTTGAAGGATGAGTTATTGCATATCTTGAATCCTAGGTAGATATAAGACTTCAACTTCAAGTTTGAAATCACGGAAAAGGTTAAGGTTATTGATAAATAACATAATTTTAGATTTGTCTGTATTAAGGTTCAATTTCCAGACCGTGTTGTGAGTGCTGTTAGAAAGGTGTGTGTCAGCCTTCCTCGTGAGAAGTATTCTGCTGTTGGTGAACAGATGATCCCGTTCATTGGCAGAATGCCTGCGAACCAAGTGAAGAAAGCGAAACCTAACCCAGTGGCACTCAAAAACTGGGTCACGTGTGGTAAGTCTGGATGAGCTTTGGATTTCGAACTGTACCAGGGTGCGGGCACTGGCATCCCCCTCCCACACACACACACGCGAATATAAAGCATTTGGGCTTGATGCGGCAGTTGTCCTGAGACTCGCAGATACTCTCCCGAAAAATAAGAACTACAAACTCTGCTTTGCCGTTTGACAATTACTATACAGGAATGGCTTTTTTGAGAGAGCTAAAGTTAAAAGGGATACTCTTCCTAGGTACTCTTCGTGGCACCGAATGATGGGTTGAAAACAGAAAAAACAACTTGAGAAAACTGGCCATGACTCGATTGACTCCAAAGTATCATCTGAGAGAGACATTTGTTTTGTCCGTTGGCTTGATAATGAAGTAGTTACAAAAAGCCTATTGCTTCTCAGATAAAGGCCCATCTAGATCATAACTGTTTGTATGAACCATTTCAAAGTGCTTATAAACAATTTCACAGTACCGAAACAGCTTTAACCCGGGTTTCAAATTTTATTAGATTTATCTGCTGCTTTTGACACGGTGGATCCTTCTATTCTTTGACATTCTAAATTCGGTATTTGTGTCTCTGCGTTAAATCTTTTAGAAAACCATCTTGTGCGTAGAAAACAGTGTATTTTAGTTAATTGTAAATCGTTGTCTGAATCTGTTTTGTCATCTGGGGTTCCTCAAGGTTCTGTTCTTGGTCCCATTTTATTTAGCCTTTATATGTCACCATTAGGTGATATTGTCAGAAAATGTGGGCTCAACTTTCAATTGTATGCCGATGATACTCAATTATATATTTCATTTACACCTAATTGATCATCTTTCATTATTTCAAAATCGCAACTTGAGAACTGTATTAGTGAAATTAGAAAATGGATGTCAAAGAACTTTCTAAAATTGAATGATGATAAAATCGAATATTTGTTATTAGGCTCAATGCATCAATTAAGTAAATTTGCACTTGATAACCCCCTGTTGTAATTGTGATATATTTTCATCTTATTCTGTCTGTAATATTG